TATCAACAATTGTTAGATAGTGAGTGACATACTGATGCAATTAAAACTGCAACGCATTATTTAAAAACAAGCGCTAACTAAAGGGACCAATGGCTTCTTTGCAATACATATTATGTCAACTGCTGTTTACTTGCTCCATGCACACTTAGAAGGATCTTTCTTCCAATACATGAAAATCAAAGTTTCACTGAATCTAGTGCACAATACGTGCGGAAGTCCAAATGCCTGAACTGCTTCCTGCTTGTATTCTCCAGTGTACTGTGCACGGTCTCTAAGAGCTCAGTAAAATGCTAATATATAACCTAAAGTACTGTTTTGGTGTTAAAGATCTTGCTGCTGCTCAATACTTACCTCTTTGCAATAATAATCATGATGTTACAGTGAAAACAAAAGTACCAATGGACAAAAGAAAAGCATGTCTGCAGCCCACCTACTCAAGTAGGAAATAACACTATTCAGAATGTACACAAGAGTAGAAATCATTACCTTTTAAATAAAGCACGTATAATTACCAAATAATACTGTAGGAATAAAACCAATGAGTGTAAATAATGAAGTTTCTTGAAACCTTATTCTTTAGTTGCATTTTTAATTTGATGTGCACTGCTATACATTCAGTAAATCCCACAGGTTCAATCTGGTTTGGAGATCAACACATGTATAATTTTTTTCCTTTCATTTTAGCTTACATTATGAGATTTATTTGGAGTCTGTGTAGGCTATTGTCAATAACTGTCTTGTACAGTTTATTCCTTTGAATTCAAAGCATCTGATAATTCAGATTTTTCTTAGCACCAAAATCCCACTTTCCCTTTATGTTGATTAATTCAAATCATTGGAGACTAATACTTTTGTTTGCTGAGAAAATATTATTGAACTATCAGGGCTTTGTTATAATCTACATACCATAAATCTATCAACTAGAATTTTCATAAGTCTTTGAGCTAACTTGATAAACCAAAATCGTTCATAAAATATCAAACTGTTCAAATATATAAGAGTTGTATCGCTTCTAACTGAAGACTTACTTGCAGGTATTAATATATTCTTCCAGCTTTTCTATTCTTTTGATATAATCTTCTATTTCCAGTTCTGTGTGCTTAATTCGAATCTGAAAATAATTTTTAAGAAGTAACTACATGTCGATATTAAATTAATTCTGATGAAAATTGCTTGGTAAGATGGAATTAATTATATAAATGAATTCACAAGCAAGAGTAAGGAGTAGGGCATTTGGCCTTTCGAGCTTGCTTCCTCATTCAACAAGATCATAGCTGATTTATTTGTGGTCTAGCTCCATTTCCTTGCCTAACCCCAGTTTCCTGGGTCATACGCAGCTTCAGAGACCAGTTCTGAATCTTAAAAGTGATCAAACTGTAGTCAATTGTACATTTTACTCTCCAGATTAAAATCGTAATTTTCTCCGACACTAATCTCGAACAGATCAGACACAATATTGTAGTGATCTTGTATGCCTTAAAGTTTGAAATTGCAACTATTTATTTTCAATGTATACCGTTTACGAATTTAAAATTTATGATTTTTAAATTTGGGACTCCTCAAATATTTAACAGCCAAGTACTTTTGAAGTATAACTTTTATAATGTAGAAAATGCTGCAACCAGGTTGCATACAGCAAGGTGTCACGGACAACAATGAATTTAATGCTCAAATTATCTATTACAGGCACTTGGTTACAGGTGACTTCTGTCCAGAACAGAGGAACTGCTCCCCAATCTCTAAATAGTGCCACACATTATTATCACCAGCAAAGATCAGCTTGATTTAACATATCAACTAAAATACTGCACCTCATACGGACCAGTACTCCCTCAGTAATGCACTGAAGTACCAGTCTAAACTATTGTTTTGGAGAGTGGCTCGAACCCATAATCTCCTGATTTAAGAGTACTACCATTGAGGTCTGCAAAAGCAGAGTGACACCAGCAGCACAGGTTCAATTCCTGTACCAGCTGAGGTTACAATGTTTGCCTGTAGTGTCATTACCCTCAGGTTAAACCACCCCCGTTGTCTCTCTGAGAGAGCATGCCTACACAGTCCAGTACGACTATGGCAACTTTTCCTTTTAGCACTGAGCCAAGGCTAACCCCTTAGCATACAATCATGTAGCATTGCAAGACATGAGACCACGTGGTCTATCATATTTTTCTTAGCTTTGTATATTTATCGAATTTTCTCTTAATAGATGCAAACAACCTAAATTCCAGAGCTCAGGTGACAGCAACTGTCCTTGACATCACAGCAGCATTTGATCAACAGTGGTATCAAGGAGCACTAGTAAACTGGAGTCAATGGGAATCATGGGAAATTCTCTACTGGTTGAAATCATACCTGGTGCAAAGACTGTTGTGGTCACTGGTACCCAATTTTGGGACATCACTGCAGGACTTCCTTAGGCAAGCATCCTAGACCCAACCATCTTCAGCACCTTCAGTAATGACCTTCAATTCATCATAAGGTCAGAAATGGGATGTTCGCTGATAACTGCACAAATATTCAGCACCATTGCAACTCCTCAGATAGTGAAGCAGCCAGTATCCATGTGCAGCAAGTCTTAGAAAACATCCAGTCACAATATCAACAATCTGGGGGTTAACACTGACCAGAAACTGAACCGGCAGATATTTAAATCCTGTGACTTCAAGAGCAGTCAGAGCCTAGGAATTCTGCGGTGTGACTCACCTCCCAATTCTCCAAAGCCTGTCCACCATATACAAGTCCACTTGTTGGGACCAGTGCAGCTCCAACAACACTCAGTAACTTAACACTATCCTATACAAAGCAGCCCACATGACCAATGCCCTATCCACCACCTTCAGTATTCATTCCCTCCACGACTGATGCATAGTACAGCAGCAATGTACAATTTCCAAGGTACACTCCAGCACCCACCAAGGCTCTTTTGAAAGCTCTTGCTTCCAAACACTTCACTTCTATCATCAAGGTCGGCAAGGGAAATAGATGCAAGGGAACACCACAACCTGCAAGTTGTTGTCCAAGCCACACATCATCCTCACTCTGAAATATATTGCTGTTCCTTCACTGTTTCTGGGTCAAATTCCTGAAACTTTCTCCCTCACAACACTCTGGATGTATCTACGCCAAATGGATGGCAATAGTTCAAAAAGGTAACTTACTACCACATTCTCAAGGGCATTAGAAATGAGCAATAACTGCTGCTCCAACCAGCGAAGTCCACATCCCCCAATACATAAATAGAAATATTTGTAGTGCAGCATTAAATAGTCTGATAGCCGAATTCGAAAATCTTCTTTTTTCTTGGTTCATCCAATGGGATTCCTTGGTCTCCATCCAGTTTACCCACTGCAAGATTTCTAAGTTTTGCCTACCTCTAGTTGCTCCCCAACAATACTGATCCATATATCAAATCCATTTCCCAGTTTGCTCCTCTGCCTTCAGCATGAGTTCCATTTTCACAATCCTCAAGCCTCCCTACTTTCCCAAAAACTCCCTTGCTGTCTCCATCTCTTGATCGCACCCTCACTTCTAATAGACAAGGGAGTCAAAGGTTACGGGGATAGGTAGATAGGGGAATCTCCTGCTCCAAATTTGGTTGATTGCTCTCCCCTCCACTGATTCTTAATTCATGAGCTTGTCTTGATACTTGAGGCTATCCTGATTCCTATGCTGCCCCTGAACTCTTGACCTGTTTGTTCTGACATATCTGTTAGTCTCAACTCTCAGCAGTGATGTCACTATGACAGAAATGGAAAATTCAAACTGTAAATAACTCCCAAGCTATGAACGGCAATATTTGAGAGATTCATACCCCATTCTGGAAGACTCTAAGGCATTTTGGGAAGTTTGGTGAATTTTTTTGTGAAATGTGTTCAGAGATCAACTGAGCAGACAAAAACATGTAAATCAATGCTTATTTTAAAACTAAACTGGTACCTTACTTCTATACATTGCTTTGCATTTGCATTGAATAGTGCACTGGAGTATCCATGTGGTATAAACTGAGGAGTTGGCTGCATTTTCACGACTGACAGAAAACTGTGTTATCATAGAATCATAGAATCCCTACAGTGTGGAAGCAGGCCATTCAGCCCATTAAGACCACATCAACCCTCTGGAGGGCATCTCTCCCAGACCTACTCCCTAACCTATCCCTGTAACCCTGCACTGCCCAGAGCTAATCCCCACCAAGCCAACACACTGCTAGACACTATGGGCAATTTAGTATGGCCAATCCACCTAACCTGAACATCTTTGGACCATGGGAGGAAACCAGAGCACCTGGAGGACACCCACGCAGACACAGGGAGAATGTGCAAATTCCACACAGGCAGTCGCCCAAGGCTGGAATGGAACCCGGATCCCCGACATTGTGAGGATGCAGTGCTAATCAATGAGCCTACATATGGCTGAGGTGCAGGCAGGTTGTGGGTCATAGGACAGGATTCAGGTCAGTAGCAATTTTAAAATGGCACATGAAATTCTTTCAAGTTTTTTTTGTGCCGTGCCATTTACAGGGTGGAGAAAATAAAGTCCCATCGAGAAGAAAATGTGTGTCTTAGTTTTTTTTACTATTATCGCTAATACTACTAAATAGAAACTCATAGTGCAGGATAAGTCAGAGAAATTGCAACAGAAGGTAAATGAAAATCTAGGGCTTTTTTTTCGAAAGAAGGAAACGAGGAGGCAGAAGTGAAACACTATTTGGAATAAATGAAAGAGAACTTTTTGACAAATTTGCACTAATCCTATTAATCCTATTGAACTGTGATTCTGTGACTAGTTTGCTGTACTGAATTCTTTATGCATTTGGTATAAAGTATTCTATACTAAATAGAATGGTTTCTAATTTTAATAGTATTAAAATTAGCTGATGTGTCTTTTATGCATAATTTTATCTGATTACTTGCAAATCTTTATAGTTTCTTTGATCCAGTTCCAGCTTGTCTCGATCAGCCTTTTGCTCACGTCGCAGTTTCTCCAATGTTTGGGCCATTGAGGACACCTGTTTTCTCACCAATTGCTTCAGTTCTTTATATTGTTGAATCTATGTAATCAGATAAAAAGCCAACTTAATAAGTAAGCAAAATGTATATTTACAGCAATAGATTATTAAATGTTAAGGAATAATCTGTTTTCTACCACTCAACACCATCAAAGCAAGGATTCTGGGTGGCAATTATTTTGTTTTCAATATGTTTATAAGGTTCTTTCTTGTCAAATACAATCATGCTTAAAGGCACGAAACTACAAATAAAACCCCAAAAAAGAAATAACTGTCATTACTCAGTTCACTGGGCTGAAAATAATTGTTTGTAATAATGAGCAGGTTTAGAAAAGTATATGGATTTATCGAGAAACAGTGGCTTGAATTTCATGTGTCTGACACGCTGGGTGGTCCAGTTTCACTATGCATGCTTGCACAGAGGTTAGAAGCATCGATCTCAAGCGTAAATAGCACAGTGCTGCTGGCCTGTGCAACAATTTCCTTATCTACAGAATGAGTGGTTGTCTACAAGGAGCATCAAATGAAGTCTTCCCAGAAGTGTTTAGAGGTCTTCAACTGTCGCTTGGAAACTAGAAATACTGCTTTAAGAAGGATACATGATACCCAGCTTTGGTTCTTCAGAACCCCAGTGATCTACCGCAAAGTGTTCTACAGCTCATTGCCAGCAGGAAAGTGCAGTTAAGCCATGAGTGAAATGATGTTAAAAGGAGTAAACAATTGAGGACTCAGCTCACATCCTGGCCCTCCTTGCTCACTATCATTAACTTAAATGCTGTACTGAATCCTGATTGCCGAGTCAGCCTCTGCAAGGTATAGTTGCAGCAATCTTTGGTGAGACGTTAATGGGCTCCAAAGTCCAAGCACATCTCAGTAGTGACAGCAGGGTCTATGCAGCCTGCCACTGTCCCTGTTTGAAGACACAAAACTTTCAATACATATAAGTACTGAGAAATGGGGCATAAAGCTTTGTAGATACACAAAGGTATCCACAAAGATGTGTTACACATTACTAGAATGTTACATTTCTGTTTTATATGTGAGCCACCTAAATATTATTCTTTGGCATCTCTTTTTCGTCTTGCCTATTCTTGGTAGCTGGCTGCCAAGTGACTTTTTCAGTTGTGTGATGAAGTGTGAACAGAAATTAATTGACATTGCACTGTCAAAAGGTGGCTTGGTCATTTACAGGATAGCTTTGTGTTAGTGACATTGGTGGATGCCAGAGCTCTCATCAGTGTTAGATTAGTTCACCGGTGGATTCTAAGCAAACCTTGCAATGAGGGCAGCCTGGGATGTTGGTGCTGCATCAAATTTCTTCATTCTACCTCATTATCTTCCTCTTCTTCCTTGGATCCACCTAATGATCTTTGTACTCTGAAAAAGAGTCGTCTTCTGAAGAAGAGTCATGTCAGGGAGGTTACTGCATAGTGGCAGTGTCTCTGCGCTAATAATACTGAAAAACCAGGTAATGCTCTGGGGACCAGGGTTCAAATTCCATGGCAAGATTGTGGAATTTGAATGAAAAATAAGATCTGGAATTACAAGTCTGGGATGGTCATGAAATCACCATTGATTGTCGTAAAAAGTCAACTGATTTACCAATCTCCTTAAAAGGAAATCTGCCCTGGTCTGGTCTACCTGTGTATCCAAACCCACAGCAATGACTCTTAAGTGCCCTCTGAAATGGCCTAGCAAGCCACTCAGTTGGTCCTCAACACTAAAACATCTCAAAAAAGAAAACAAAACAGACAAATCCCCTGGCATTGACTTATGCACCAGAAACAACATTGCTAAATTCAGCCCTGTGAACTCTGAAAATCCTCCTTACTAACATCTGGGAGCGAGGACCAAAATTGGAAAGGTTGTCTCCCAGATTAATCAAGCAACAGTCTGACACAATCATACTCACAACATCATACCTTACAATGTTCCAGGTAACAGCAAAACTAATCTTGGATATGTCCTCTTCCACTGGGTGGACAGTATCCAGTAGAAGTATTCAGTCAGAATAGAGTTTAATATTGACTCTGGATCTTATATTGTCTCAGGGCATCAGGTTAAACATGGGCAAGAAAACTCCTACTGTTTACCACATACTGCCCTCCTGCAGCTGATTCAATACCCCTCCGTGTTGAACAATATGGGAAAAAGTACCAAATGTGACAAAGGTGTAAAACGTACGCTAGTGTGCAACTTAGGCCATAAGACATAGGAGCAGTAATTAAGCCATTCAGCCCACCGAGTCTGCTCCACCATTTAATCATGGCTGATAATATTTTTAACTCCATTCTCCCACTTTCTCCCCTTGACGATCAAGAACCTATCTATCTCTGTCTTAAATATACTCAATGACCTGGCCTTCTGTGGCAGTGAATTCCATAGATGCACCACTCTCTGGATGAAGAAGTTTCTCCTTATCTCCGTTCTAAAAGGTCTTCTCTTTACTCTAAGGCTGTGCCCTCAGGTTCTAGTCTCTCCTACCAATGGCAACATCTTCCCAACATCCACTCTGTCCAGGCCATTTAGTATTCTGTAAGTTTCAATTAGATCCCCCACTCATCCTTCTAAACTCCATCGAGTACAGACCCAGAGTCCTCAAACATCCTTCATATGTTAAGCTTTTCATTCCTGGGACCTTTCTCGTGAACCTCCTCTGAACTCACTCCAGGACCAGTACATCTTTCCTGAGATATGGAGCCCAAAACTGCGCAGAATACTCCAAATTTGGCCTGACCAGAGCCTTATAGAGCCTCAGAAGTACATCCCTGCTTTTATATTCAAGTACTCTCAAAATAAATGCCGAAGTTGCATTTGCCTTCCTAACTACTGACTCAATCTGCAAGTTTACCATAAGAGAATCCTGGACTAGAACTCCAAAGTCTCTTTGCACCTGAAACTTCTGAATTTTCTCCCCATTTAGAAAACAGTCCATACCTCTATTCTTCTTACCTAAGTGCATGACCTCACATTTTCCCACGTTGTACTCCATCTGCCACTTCTTTGCCCACTCTCCTAACCTGTCCAAATCCTTCTGCAGCCTCCCCGCCTCCTCAATACTACCTGTCCCTCTACCTATCTTTGTATCATCTGCAAACTTAGCCAGAATGCCCTCAGTTCCTTCATCTAGATCATTAATGTATAAAGTGAAAAGTTGTGGGCCCAACACCACTTGTCACCAGCTGCCATCCTGAGAAAGACTCTTTTAACCCCACTCTCTGCTTTCTGCCAGATAGCCAATCTTCTATCCATGCTGGCACCTTGCCTCTAACACAATGGGCCCTTATCTTACTCAGTAGGCTCCTGTGCGGCACCTTGTCAAAGGCCTTCTTAAAGCCCAGGTAGATAACATCCACTGGCTCTCCTTGATCTAACCTGCTCGTTACTTCCTCAAAGAATTCTCACAGATTTGTCAGGCATGACCTCCCCTTGATGACTCCATGCTGACTTTGCCCTATTTTACCGTGCACTTCCAATTATTCAGAAATCTCATCCTTCACTCATCCATCTCTTCAGCTATCTCCTTAAGAACTCTATGGTGTAGTCCATCTGGTCCTGGTGATTTATCCATCTTCAGGCCATTCAGTTTTTCTAGCACCTTCTCCTTGGTGATAGCCACCATACTCACCTCTACCCCCTGACTCTCGAATTTTTGGGATATTACTCGTGTCTTCCACCGTGAAGACTGAAGCAAATAATTATTCAGTTCGTCAGCCATTTCCTTGTTCCCCACTACTATCTCTCCAGTGTCATTTTCCAGCAGTCCAATGTCTACTTTTGCCTCTCTTTTGCCCTTTACAGTCCTCCTTTATTTTACTGGCTAGCTTACCCTCATATTTAATCTTCTCCTTCCTTATTTCTTTTTTTGTTGCCCTCTGTTGGTCTTTGTAAGCTTCCCAATCCTCTGGTTTCCACTGCCCTTCGCCACATTATATGCTTCTCTTTTGCTTTTATGCTATCCCTGACTTCCCTAGTCAGCCATGGTTGCCTCATCATCCCTGTACCATGCTTCTTTTTCCTAGGGATGAATTTTTGCTGCGTGTCCTGTATTACTCCTAGAAACTCCTGCCATTGCTGTACCACTGTCTTTCTTGCTAGGCTCTTCTCCCAGTCAATTCTGCCTAACTCCTCCCTCATGCCTCTGTATTTGCCTTTATTCAGCTGTAAGACCATTACCTCTGATTCTATCTTCTCCCTCTCAAATTGCAGAGTAAATTCTATCATATTATGATCACTGCCTCCCCTAAGGGTTCCTTCACCTTAAGCTCCCTTATCAAGTCTGCCTCATTGCACAACACTAAATCCAGTATTGCTTGCTCTCTAGTAGGCTCTACCACAAGCTGCTCCAAAAAGCCATCTTGTAGACATTCCTCAAATTCCTTTTCTTGCAATCCACTACCAATCTGATTTTCCCAGTCCACCTGCATATTGAAAACCCCCATGATCACCATAACTTTGCCTTTCTTACACACTTTCTCTATCTTCTGGTGTATCTTGCGCCCCAGCTCCTGACTACAGTTTGGAGGCCTGTATATAATTCCAATTATGGTTTATTTACCTCTGCGGTTCCTCAACTCTACCACACAGATTCTACACCATCTGACCTTACTTCGTTTCTTACTATTGATTTAATTTCATTTCTTACTAATAAGGCAAACCCACCCCCTCTGCCCACCTGCCTATCTTTTCAATACGATGTATATCCTTGGACATTCAGCTCCTAATCCTGATCCCCTTGCAGCCATGTCTCCATGATGCCCACCACGTCATATTTGCCAATTTCAATCCGCACCACAAGCTCATTTACCTTCTTTCTTATACTGCGTGCATTCAGATATAACACCTTCAGTCCTGTATTAACTGTCTCCCTTCTCATTGTCTCTCATTTATCTAGTGTGCTTGAAGTTTGATACCTAACCCTTTCCAAACACTTTGTCCTATTTGTGTCTGTGCTGGAAACTTTAATAACCTCTCCTGAGTTCTCCGTTCCTGTAATTTTTTTTATGTTTTTCCACACAGTGGAATCTACCCCTACAGATGTTAGCCTGCTGCTTTGTTCTCCACTGGGGGAAGTTTAATCTTTTCTTCCTACCCCCCACTTTCTGGTTTAAAGTCCTGTTGGCCAGCCTATTTACACTTTTCACTAGAACATTGGTCCCTTGACAACAATTCCTCCATAAACCTGTTTGGTAGTGGTGACTGCGCCGATGTAAATCTTCGCCCCAACCGCCAAACAGCGTCACCTCCATCCTTCAATGACTATCACCAAGAGTGGCTTGGCAACACCACCAGTAACTGAGCTAGTCAAATCCTAAAAAATGTAGCTGCAATACCGGGTCCACCGCAGATGTTGAAGGAACCAACAAAATGAAAACTGATCTGATCTCATCACGTCCTCACCATTCTATCTGCCATACCACAGGAGTCAATACTGCCTAGTCCTCGTGGAGGCAATACTGAGGATACCTTCAATTGGATTTTACAGCACTACCACAGTGCTAAATGAGATAAGTTCAGAACAAATCTAGCAACTCAAGTGAGGTGTTGTGGGACATCAACAGTAGCAGCAGAACTGAACTCAAACACAATCTTCAACCTCATGGTCCAGCATATCCTCAACTCTACAATTACCATCAAACTAAGGGATCAAACCTGGTTCAATGAAGACTGTAGGAGGTCACGCCAAAAGCAGCACCAGATATACCTTAACAATAAGAAGTCAACCTGTGAAGGCACAACACTAGACTACTTGCATGTCAAATAACAAAAGCAACAAGTATTACATAAAGCTGCAGGATTCCACAAACAGCAGATCAGATCTAAGCTCTGCAGCCCTACCACATTCAATTGCGAATGGTAGAGGATGATTAAACAACTCACTGAAGGGGAAACCTTCACAAATGATGGGGAAGACCAGCTCATCAGTGCAAAAGACAAGACTGAAGAATTTGCAACAATCTTCAGCTAGATGTGTTGAGTGTCAAGAAGTCTTACAAAAATTAGAAGCAGTGGCAATCAGGGTGGGACACTCTGTTAGCTGTAGTCATGACATGCACAACAGAAGATGGTTGTGGTTATTGGAGGTCAAGTCATCTTCCCTCCAGGTCATCTGTGAAGGAGTTCCTCAGGGTGGTGCCCTATGCCCAACTATCTATAGCTGCTTCATCAATGATATTCCTTCCATCATCATGTCAGAAGTAGGGATGTTTGTTAATGACTGCATAATGCTGAAAACCATTCACTATTCCTCAGATACTGAAGCAGTCCATGTTCAAATGCAGCAAGAGCCGGATGATATCTAGGCTTGTGGTGACAAGTGACAAGTGGCAAGTAACAGTCATGCCAAGCAATGACCATCCCCAACAATCTAATCTTCCCCCTTGATATTCAATTGCATGAGTATCACTGAAACCCCCTTCATCAATAGTCTGAAGGTTACAATTGACCAGAAACTGAACTGATTTAGTTTAATTATTGTGACTACAAAAGCGAAGCAGATCATAGGATAGGACTGCAGTGAGTAACTTACCTCCTGACTCCTGTCCACCATCTACCAGCACAAGTCAGGAGTATGATGGAATACTACCAACTTGCCTGGAGGAGTGCAGCTCAAACAATGTTCAAAAACACCACACAAAATAATGGAACTCACTTAATTGGGACCATGTCCTGAAACAGTTACTCTCTCTACCACTGATGAACAGTAACAGGAGTCTGTACCATACCATCTATAAGATGCACTGCAGAAATTCACAAAGGTTCCTTTGACAGGATCTTCCAAACCCATGGCCACTACTATTTAGAAGGACAAGGCAGTATGTTAGATATATGGGAATACCATCTGCAAGTTTCCCTCCAAGCACTCACCATCCTGACTTGGAAACGTATCGCTGTTCCTTCACTGTCACTGGATTAACATTCTGGAATTCCCTCTCTGATACCACTTTGAGTGTCCCTTCACCAAATGGAGTGCAGCAGTTCAAGAAGGCAACTCACCACCACTTACTGAGAGGCAACTAGGAATGGACCATAAATGCAGGCCAATGCAACAAAACACACATTTTTGAATGAATAAAAAAAGTACCCTAAGCACTAATTCAATTTAACTCTCTACAGATGCTGCCATACTGCTGAGTTTTCCCATTGCTTTCTATTTTTATTTCTGTCCACTACCCTTTGTTTCTACGTCATTGCTTTGCAATTTTAGTTAAGGACACCCTGCACCCAAAGGAAGCTAGCCAGAGCTGTAAACCCAAGTACCCACCCATTCTGACTTGTGTCATTGCAGTTTGCAGTTGGGGGAAATAATGTTAGCATGAATTGAAGACTGATTAACAACAAAGAGAAAGACAAAGGATAAACAGGAATTTTCAAGCTGACAGGCTGTGACTAGTGGAGTGCCACAAGGATTGATACGAAGATCAATATTTTGTAACAGTAATGCTGAGAAAAATCTTTTCATTAAAACCTTCTGCCTTAGTAGGCAGTCTTCAGGCCTATCCATACAACCTATTTAGAGAACTCTGCTCACATCTTGTAACAAACAGTTGTAACAAATAGCACCATAACAGCTGAGACAATCCACAAGACTCTTTAATAAAGTGAATTCACCCTATCTCCCAAAGTTAATGACTCCTTTAAACAATTACAGGATCCACGACTGTACTTTTGTCCAAACCTAACCAGATCTTTCTTGGACTGCACCCTGTGTACAAATTACACTGTAATCTATCCATGTGCTTTTTGAGATTCATTGTTCATAAACAAACAGGAGTGAAAACAATATCTCGATAGCAGAGGTAACAAGGGGCCCATTATTTAGAGCAAATATGAGGAGAAATTTGCTTCTTCAAAGGCTGTATATCTTTGCAATTCTCTACTTTGAAGGTTATGGATGCTCCATTAAAGAGTATAGAAAGCGGGCCAGAAATGGAAATAATGTAGAGTATTAAACATAATTGTTTTGAATGCACAGCATGTTTGAAGGGTCATATGGCCTACTCCTGCTCCTACCTCTCATATTTTTATCCTTCATCTCTTCTGATGCACAGCAATCATACTTTGGTAAGTGTACGGCTATAACATTGGATACCAGGCCACTGAGAATTTCTTTTAATTCCTAACCGTTCTTTTTTTTCATTTATTCATGTAATATGGGTGTCACTGACCAGGCCAACATTTACTACACACCAATAATTGCTCTTGAGAAGGTGGTGGCCAGCCACTTTCTTGAACTGCTGCAGTTGATGTGTTGCAGCTACCTGCACAGTGCAATTTAGAAGGAAATTCCAAGATTTTCGTAGCACCAAAGCTAGAAACCTCCATCATCAGGGAGTTTCCATATTCCAACCTCTTATTTAGCAGCTGAGCTGCTGGATCATATGTCCACTGAACATAACTTTGAATTTACCTCGGAACCAAGCTAGGATTGTGACTGTGAACCTGGAAAGTACCTTCTTTACATATGTGCCATCTGAAGTAACTCCACAGTGGCCAGTATCCTGTCACCAAGTCACCCTTTACTTACATGTGAACAGTGTTTGACTTTAGTACTGCCTCATTTGGAGTCAGCTATCAGAGTGCCAGTTTCTCTGACACTCCCCTTTTTAACCGTCAGTCAGGGCTCCCTGATTGGTCCAGATTACCTGCCCCAATCAGGGAACTCACATTCTATGAAGTCCAGCTGGCTGACCTTGTTACTATCACCATACTACCCTTTTGCAAAGAGTTTCACTGGGACATATCCATGTTCATCACACATAACACCAAGAATACAGCAGGAGCCACTCGATTTTTGCAGCATGTCGGGCAGACGGGTGCCCGAAATGCACTGCTTTAAGTGCTGCACCAAGCTTCTGTTAACCCCAGAAAATTCACCAGAGCATGTGGGTGAACTTCGAAGCAGGAGAACATCGTCAAAAATAATGGTACCATAAACTTTTCAAATATCATGATCATTTTGTTTGATTGAAGAAGTTACAGTAATGACAAAAAATGTAAAGAAGACACAAGACAACAAAAAATGTAAATAAGAACAGAAAAAGTGAAACAAGTAGCAATTGTTTTTGTTTACCTGGCTCTCCTCCAGTTCCATGCTACGACCTCTGCTGCTGATTTCTGCTACTGCTTCTTCCTCAAAAGCCTTCCATACTTTACTCACATCATCCAGCTCAAACTCCAGTTCTTTCACTGCCTGCTGATGAATGCTGTATTGTTTCTCACAGCTTTTCAGAGATTTCCTAGCTACTTCGACCTTCTTCACATAGTGCCTTGTGTTCTCCTTGGCTTTGATATAACTGGGTCGTTTCTCATTCAGATTAAAGTCATGAACTCTGGTAATGTAATAATAAAATTAAATTAAATTCACAAATTCATCAACTTCATCTACAACCTAAGACAAATTTGAATTGGTGATATGATTTTGCAATGTTGGTGCAATGGAAGGACTCGAAACACCATACCCTAGACTAAGCCTTATACAGGGAAATCTGCACAGCAAACTAAACTTTAGTCAGACATACAAGATCACAAAGATTATGAATTCTCAATGAACAGTCTTCATATAGTACAGCATATGATGCGAGGGTAAGTTTTCCTTGCCTAGTGGAAACTGGCTCATGTGGCTTACACACAGGTTCTGCCTCCCTCTTGAGGGTTGAAGTGTCAACTGGTCTTTGAACAGGTAAGGAACGCTAAGCAAAAAAAAGTGGCACCCTTTTTTGAATATGCAGATCCTACTCAAGGACATCATTACAGCCCAATTGCAGTTTTAACAGGAGGTCTGCAAACGGAACACAACAGAAGGAAGCCAAACTCAAAAGAGGCCTGGACAAGTAACTTAATTTTTCTGCAGAAAAGAACTGTTTCTTTGTGGAACTGCTTCTCTGGACCTCAAAGAAACCTTAGGCCTTGCATGCACCATCCACCTATCCCTCAATCCGAATCATAAAAGCCTCCTGAGCTCTACCTTAGTCTCGAAGTTAGGCCCATTCCTTAAGCAGCTCCACTGAAAGTTTCCTACTACATGATTTTCTATTAATGCAGGGCAGTTACAGCCTCCCAGTTTGTCAAATGGGTGAGTAGATCGATGCTGATCTGGCCAAGCAGGAGAAATTTCATGCCTCAGGTGGGCCATATGCCTAGCCCACATCTGTACAATGCCCAGCAGAAACTTAAAATCGGGATCATCATGTGCTAAAACTCGTGGAGTCTACTCGTCAAAGGATAGAAAACAAAATAAAGCCTCAAATATGGAAATTCGATCCAGAAATTTTCAAACCTATGAAGTAAAAAGTTGAAAGAAATGTATGTCGGAAATGCAATGGTAAGTTTTCTGTTGTTAGGAGACCATTTCATCATTGCAAATGTTGGCTAACAGCAGAAATATCCAGAGGTTCCACACTAGTGGTACAAAGTCCACTGTACACTAAAATATGGTATTCAGAGCTTGGCAGCTGTTGACATATGAAATGCTTGTACAAGACAACTACTCAATTTTAATATCCATTCGGAAGTGGGCATGTTCAATACATTATTTTCCACTATTCAGGACATAAGTTTGGTGATCTTGAAAAGGGCTCCAGCATTCTGAGAGAATCAATTACACCAATAGTTGATTCAAAAAGCACAGGGTAACACTCCAAATCAGAATACATCGATGAAAAAAAATGTTTAATTTTCTCTGACTTGAATTTTACTTGCCACTTGTCACCCCAAGCTTGGACATCATCCAGGTCTTGCAACATTTGGGCAGTGACTGCTTCAGTATCTGAGGGAATAGTAAGTGGTGCTAAAATCTGTGCAATCATCAGTGAACATCCCCACTTCTGACCTAATGATGAGAGGAAGGTCATTGATGAAGCAGCTGACAAAGGATGCTGCCCTAAAGAACTCTGGCACAGATAACCTGGAACTAAGATGATTGACCTCCAACAACCACAGCCATCTTCCTTTGGGCCAGGTATGACTTCAATCAGCAGAGAGCTTTTTTCCCTGATTCCCAAAACCTCTAGATTTACTACCACTCCTCAATATCACGCTTGGTCAAATGCAACCTTTAATTCAAGGGAAATTACTTTCAATTCACCTCTAGATTTCAACTCTTTGTCCATGTTTGAACCAAGGCTGAACAGAGGTTAGGAGCTGTGTGGCTGTGGCAGAATCCAAGCTGGAGTCAATGAATGAGTTATTGCCAAGCAAGTGCTGCTTGATAGCACTATTGATGACACATTCCATCATTTCATTGATAATGGAGAGTAGACTGATGGGGCAGTAACTGGCTGGGTAAGTTGTCCTGTCTTTTGTGTACAGGACATACCTGGGCAATTCTCCACATTGTCAGGCAGACACTAATGTTGTAGCTGCACTGAACAGCCTGGCTAGGGATGCAGCAAGTTTTGGAGCACGTTTTCAAAACTATTGCTGCAATGTTGTCTGGGGCCTTTGCAATATCTGGTGCCTTCAGTCATTTCTTGTTATCACATGGGGTGAACTGAACTGACTGAAGACTGGCAGTGGTGGGGAACCACTGGAAGAGGCTGAAATGGATCATCCATTAGGCATCTCTGGCTGAAGATTATTGCAAATGCTTCAGCCTTATCTTTTGCACTGGTGTGCTGGGCTCCCCCAACATTGAGTTATTTAATTGTCCACCATCGTCCTTGACTGGATGTAGCAGGCCAGCACAGGGTAGATCCATTGGATAAAAAAAAAAATCACCCACAAAATCTGTCTATCACTTGCTGCTTATGCTTTTTGGCATTCAAGTAGTACTGTTTTGCGACTTCACAGGTTGACAGCTCATTTTTAACTGCGTCTGGTATGCACTCCTCATTCATAGAATCACAGTATCATCCAATACAGAAAAGGCCCTACACCCCAGTGAGTCTGTGCTGCCAAGAATAAAGTACTACCTACAATCCCACTTTCCTGCACAATGCCATAGCTTTGACTGTTATTCCAGAACCCCATCACCCTGTGGTTGAAAAGGCTCTAAACATCCTGCGTTGGAATTTAAAATTATGCGCCCTGTTATTGACCTTTCAACTAAGGGGAACAACTGCCTTCTTTTCACCCTGTCCATGCCCCTCATAATCTTATACATCTCTAACAGGCCTCCTCTCAACCTTCTCTACTCCAAAGGAAACGACCCAAGTTTATCCAGCCTCTCTTCATTGCTGAAATGCTCCACCCAGGCAACTTCCTAGTGAATCTCCTTTGCATCCCCTCCACTGCAACTCCATTCTCCCTGCAGTATGGTGACCAGACTTGCGCACAGTCTTCCAGCTGTGGCCTAACCAAAGTTCTGTACAGCTCCAACATGACCTCCCTGCTCTTATAATCTAGCCATGGCAGATAAAGGCAAGCATGCCGTATTCCTTAACAACCCTATTAACCTGCCCAGCCACCGTCAGGGATCTGTGGACAAGCACTTCAAGATCCCTCTGTTTGTCTGAGCTTCCTAGCGTCTTAACATTCATTGAGTACTCCTTTGTCATCTTCCAAAGTGCATCATCTCACATATATCAAGGTTAAATTCCATTTGCCACTGATCTGCCCATCTGATCAATCCATCTATATCTTCTTATGACCTTAATATCTTCCTCCTCACTGTCAACCACCCAACCAATCTTTGAGTTATCTGCAAACTTATTTATCATCACTCCACCCCTTAAAATTCTCATCTACATAATTTATGAAGATCATAAACAGTAAGAGACTCAGTAGTGATCACTATAGTACATCACCTGACACAGGGCTTCAGTCACACAAACAGCCTTTTACCACTACCGTTTCTCCAGTCACTAAGCCAATATTGGATTCAACTTGCCAATTTTTACCTTCTTTAGTAGTTTCCCATATGGGGCCTTGTCAAAAATCTTGCTGAAATCCATATAAACTACATCAACAGCCCTCGACTCATCCAAGCAATTGGTCACCAATTTGAAAAATTCCACCAGATTTGTTAGGCAGGATCTCCTTCTGACAGAGCCATGATCAGATCTTGCCTCTCTGAATGACAGAATCATTTTCTCCTTCACTATTTTCACCAAGTTGCCCTACCACTGATTTAGACTCACTGGTCTATAGTTCCCTGGTCTTTCTCGACCACCCTTCTCGAAAATGGATCAACATTAGCTATCCTCCAGTCCTCTGGTACCTCCTCTATGGTCACAGACAATTTCAAAATTTGGAGCAAAGCCCCTGTAATTTCATCGCTTGTCTTTCACAGAAGCCTGGGATACAATTCATTCTGGCCTGGAGGAATTTGTCCACTTTTAAATCTACAAAATTCCTCGCTTCTAACATCAATCTGCTCAAGAAGTTCACAGTCCATTGCCTTGAATTCTGTACTTGCAACCTCATTCTTGCAAGTAAAGACAGATATGAAGTATTCATTTAATACTCTACCAATGTGCCCCGGCTTCACATATTGCCCCTTGGTTCCTAATAACTTTTCTCTTTCTTCGGTTTTTCTCTTCCCCTCGATATACTTGTAGAATATCTTGTCATTCCTGTTAACCTTGTCCGCCAGTGTTTTTTCATGTCCCCCTCTTTGCTCTCCTAATTGCTTTCTTGAGCTCCTTCTGCACGTCCTAAACACCTCTAGTGACTCCATTGTTTTGCTCCCTTTCCACCTGTTACATGTCGCTCTTTTCCTTTTTATCCTGTCTTGAATATTCCTGGACATCTATGGTTCTCTGGGCTTGTTGCTCCGACATTTCACCCTAAAGGGAACATGTTGGGCATGTACTCCTCCCAGTACCTTTTTGAACACCTCCCACAGTTCTGCTGTAGGTTTACCCTCAAGAAGCTGTTCCCAGTCTACTTTGACCAGAACCTCCCTTATTTTAATAAAACTTGTCTTGCCCATCGAAAACCCCTTTTTTGCAGACCATCCTTCCCCTTCTTCATGACAAACTTAAAAATATATAGTGTTGGGGTCTCTATCACTAAAATGCTCCCCAGTGTCAACTTGAACATGTGGCTGGTTTCATGCCTCCAGCACTGCACCATCCCTTATTGGGCAACCTACATGTTGACATAAAAAGCTCTCCTGTATACATTTCAAGAAATTTGCCCCCATCTAAGCCTACTTTACCATGATTATCTAATTAATACTGGGATAGTTGAAATCCCCTAATATAATTAATCCCTTCCTTCAAATGCCTTAAGTGAATTGATTGTATATCTGCTCCTCAAATATCCACTGTCTGTCTGGGGGGGCTACAATACGCTGTTAGGCATGTGACTGCTCCTCTTTTATTCCTAAGTTCTACACACTAAGCCCCATTTGATCACCCTTCCAAGGCACCATCCCTTCTGACTAACTAATAACACGATTACTTTTGCACCCTCCCTTGTCCCTTCTGAAGATCCTATACCCCAGAATGTTAAGTTGCCGGTCTTGTCCTTCCCGCAACCACATCTCTGTGACAGCGACTACACTGCAGTTCCACGTGTATATCCATACCTAACTCATCTGTCTTATCTCTAATACACATGGTATTAAAGTAGATGCCATCCAGCCTTGCCTTACTCCCTTGAAACACCACATGGTTGCATGTGCTCTACCTTGGTTCCTTTTTAAAATTATGCTGTGTCACAATTGAACGAATGCTAAACTAGTTTAAACTACCCCCAAAAGCACTAGTAAACCCTTTGGCAAGGATGTTAGTCCCACTTCTAGAGGTCCTATGATCCCCAGATACATTCCCATTGATACAGGAATCTAAAACCCTCCCTCCTACATCAACTGTTGAGTCACGCATTCATCTACTTTATTCTCCTACTTCTGTGCTTGCGAGGTGTGGGACCAGGAGTATTCTTGAGATTACAACCTTTGAGGTCCTGCTTTTTAATTAATTACCTAACTTCCTGAACTCTTGATGCAAAACCTCATATCTACATCATCAGTAACAACGTGTATTATAATCTCTCTCTTATCACCCTACCCCTCCAGGGTGCCCTGTAGCTGCTCAGTGACATTCTTGACCCTGGCACTAGGGACGCAACACACCATCCTGGAGTTACATCTGCGGGCACAAAAATGCCAATCTGTTCTCCTAACTTATCAATCCCCTATCATTATAGCTCTTCCTCCCTTCGTATATAGTCAGGGTGCCAGTGGTGCCAGAAGCCTGGCTCTAACTCCACTCCCTTGAGGTACCAGCACACCCCTAAGCTTGCAGAATGGAAAACTGATTTGTGAGCATGACCACCAGAGACTCTTGTACTATTTGCATGTTTTTCTTTTACTGTCATCCATTGCCTTCTTTCCTCCATCCCTTCAGCTGTGGTGTGAACACCTCTCTAAATGTGCTATCCACATGTCTCCAACTGCCACTCAAGCACTGAAACCTGGAGCTCACGTTTGTGTATATGAGAGCACTTCCTGCACGTTGTCATCCTGGACACCAGTAGGCTGCATGACTCCTCACATGTGACAGAACACACATTCCTCTTGGCTGCCCTTGCCTGCTATGATTTAAAACTTCCTTAGTCTTCCTTAAATATTCTACTCTTACCAGCTAACTGTATCCCTAAACTATTTTGCACTTTTAAAATATTTACTCGTTCAGGAGAGTTCCCCAAGGTAGCTCCCTTACCAGCCAAGCAGCTTGCTGCTAACTTCTGACATCACTCCAATATCTTTCATCTCGTTCAGAATAAGTAAATTTTTAAAGAACTTACTGTTCCTGCACCTCCCCCACCGGTCCCAATGTTGTCCCAGCTCCCAGGTAAGTGATACCCTGGCTTGATGGTAATGGTAAAGTGGGGGATATGCCAGGCCATGAGGTTGCAGGTTGCATTAGGAGAAAGATTCTGCTGCTACTGATGGTCCAGGATGCCTCACAGATATCCAGATTTCAGTTGCTAGATCTGGTTGAAGTGAGTCCCATTTACACATTAGGAGGCAACATAATATCACTGCACTGGTAATCCAAAGGCCCAGGTAATGTTCTGGGGAACCAGATTTGAATCCCACCATGGCAGATGGTGGAATTTAAATAAAAATAACCTGGAAGTACAAGCCTAATGACAACTACAAATCCATTGTCAATTGTTGGAAAGACCCATCTGGTTCATTTAATGCCCTTCAGGGAAAGAAAGTGCCATCCCACTTGATCTGGCCTACATGTGATTCCAGACTCAAAATGTGGAGGTGCCGGTGTTGGACTGGGGTGGACAAGGTCAGAAGTCACACATTACCAGGTTGAAATCCAACAGGTTTATTTAAAATTACAAGCTTTCGGAGCACTGCTTCTTCATCAGGTGAAGTCTTCACCCGAAGAAGGAGCAGCGCACCGAAAACTTGTGATTTCAAATAAACCTCTTGGACTATACCCTGGTGTCGTGTGACTTCTGACATTACCCAGACTCAAGCAATGTGGTTGACTCTTAACTTCCCTCTGGGCAATTAGGGATAGGCAATAAATGCTGGCCTAACCAGCGATGCCCTCAGCATGTGAATAAGTTAAGAAAAAAACACAACACAATTTAAGGTATTCTCAATGTGAGGATGGAAGGTCATCTCCAAAGGACTGTACGGTGGTCACTCTTACTGATACTGTCACAGACAGATACATCTGCAAAAAGGAGAATGATAAGGATGAAATCAAGTATGTTTTTCAATCTTGATGATTCTTTCACTAATTGCCGCAGATTTAGTCCAGCAGCAATGTCATTTAGGACTCAACCAGGTCGATCAGTAGTGCTCTCTCTAAGCCACTCTTAGTGGTGGACATTGAAATCCCTCATCCGAGTACATTCTGCACCGTTGCTATTTTCAGTGCTTCCTCCAAGTGGTATTCAACAAGGTGGACACTGATTTATCAGCTGAGAGTTGGGTGGGATCATTACATAAAAATTAGCAGGAGGTTTCCATGACCAATAAAAATGGAAAGAACTGTGGGTGCTGTAAGTCAGAAACAAAAACAGAAATTGCTGAAAAGGCTCAGCAGGTCTGACAGCATCAGTGGAGAGAAATCAGAGTTAACGTTTGCAATCCAGTGAAATTCCTCAGAAGTTAGTACCATTCACATAATGGTCTTCCCATAATACATGAGTGCTGGAATACTCTGAAGAATCTCCCTCCTCCCAGTTCTCCTCAAGGAATTGTGGTTCAGGTCCTCCACATCATCTAGTTCAACACCTCTTTATGTATATTTATGTTATGCAACAAGGAGCAGATCACCTTTGTTGTTTTATACTGGAATGCACCACCAAGCTGGTCATTACAACAGAAGGGCATCTTCACAATGCCAATGGTTTCAAATTGCAGGTTTGTATTAGTACGCGGATTTGGTTGGAGCCCACCTCTCCACCGTTGTCCGGGTGCTGGACAGATGCCAGGAGCTATCTCCTTAGGAATAACATTTATCCCTGAAGATACCCTTGGAGAGGAGATATTACCCAAAGAAAGAAATCATGGTAGCTGCCTGGGAATGGAGTGCAAACCATCAAGATGTAGTTCCTGAGTGGAAGTGACTGGAAGACTTCTCTGTCCAGAAATCTGTTTACATGCTCTGTTTATGCCTTGATGGCAACATCAGTACAGCTGATGACTCCACATACCTGAGGCAATTCATCAATACAGGCAAAATGCAATGCTCTTTGTGGCTGCACTGGCCTACCTTCCCCCAAATTAATATATTTTCCAAAGCTCCAGAATAGGCCATCTGTGACACACTTCATATGATGCGATGAATTGCTGGCTACAAGATGTCACTTAGTTCTGCAGTTGATCTTTGGAACAGCTGAGATGATCGTGATGGCTACAGGTAAAAACTATTAAGGACTGGGAGGCATCACGTCATTTTGGACCAGCGCACAAATATATAATACCGTCTGCATCTGCCACAATCACTGTGTCACTGGCACTCTGTCAGTGCAGGTAGTTGAATCCTGGGGAGAGAGGGGTTAACATAATGAATTGGGGAACACCTTCCTCCATCTACAGATCCTCACTGTATCCCTCTGATCTCCTCTGGACGAGGGAGATGGATTGTCTGAAGATCCTCCTCAATAATGTCAAAAAAACCAAATCCCATCTCAACTTCCTCAGTTGGGCTTTGTTTGTTTGTCATGGCTCCCTCTACAACATTAGCCGTCCTTCTCAATGGGCCTAAAATTAATTTCTCACAAATGCATGTATCTCAGTACCAGCGAGGGATACTCTGTACAGTCTAAAAAGCTCAGCTTTATTTTCCACTTCTTAAATATACAGCTTCTATTAAAACACATTGCTCTCTGCTGTGTTCACACTGATGTGTCCCAGATAATCCATTTCTTCACTGCTCCCAATTAAGTGCTGCCAAACATGATCTCATTTTTGAAGAATGAAAATGGAGAAATGTCACATAATCAGCTTTCATACAAAAGCAGATATACTATCAGAAGTATTTTCTCTGTAAAATCTAAGCAGTAACTATGATTAGAAACTCAACATTTAAAATTATATTCTCATTGCAATAAGGTAGAACAAACAGTAAACTTACTTTATCTCCTTCTCAATTTGTTGCAGTTCTCTGTTAAGTTTGCCCAACTCTTTTTTCTTTGTTCTCACTTCTTCTTCTGCTGCAACCTGTCTTACTTTCTGACTACTTACAGCTTTATTGCTGGCTTGTAGATCTTCGTTGATGTTTTCTATAAACTTCTCATTATAATATAAAAGGAACAGGTGCAACTGAATCTTGCTTGCTTTTAGCTCCTCTATCAACATTTGGTAACGATCTGCCTAAGTGTTCAATTATAAGAAAAATGCAATATTTATCATGGGTATTCATTTGTAAAGTATCAAAAACAAAACACAATATTCAACAAAATACCACTCTGCTCTAAACATATTTGCAAAGTAGCAAAATATCTACCATATTTGAGCAAAACATTCTTATATTATAAAAGGTATCATGTATTTGTACAAATATAACACATTATTAATGGAGTACATCACAATGATTTAGAATATGCCGAGCAGAGCGTGCCAGCTGGCAGTCCAATAACACTAGCTGGAGGTGTTGAGAACTGGGCCCAAGTAACCCCTGCAGCAGTTAGCATCAGACAAATGCCCTGACATTTGTCAGCTCTAGACCAACACAATATTGGAAGACCCAAGGTTAATCTAGCTGACAAAACAGATTGGGGGTGCAGCAGCTGGATATTTTGAAATAGCTGGAACCTATGGTAGCAAGGATCCACAGTGCTTGAGTGGAAGTTAACCGCCTGGCCTCACAACGATACTTCTATTGTTATCTGTTCCATAAGGTTTTTCCAAGTAGGATGCCACAACTAGTTAAATTAGTATTTAAACCCAGAAACTAAATTACATTGTTCAACAGTAGTTGAGGTGATTTTGCATAAGTAAAATACTTTCTTAAACTTTCAGTATTATTTTGAACCATAATTTTAAACTGTTGGGTTGAAAATTTGATTCTTCAGATAGGAGGAACTGTTCCCCTGAATTGAACTGATTCTTCTGAACTGGACTCAAACTAAACTCGTGGCCTCTGTCCTGTTTTCTGTTCTCAGTTTCATTTCTCAGTTGCAAACTTAGCAGTGTAGAAATGGAGGTCAGAAAAGTACAGAGTGGCTACAACAGCAGGTCAGAGGCTAGGAATACTGCAGCGTGTAACTCACCTTCTAACTCCCCAAAGCCTGTCCACCATCTACAAGGCACAAGTCAAGACTGTGATGGAATACTCCCCACTTGCCTGGATAAGTGCAGCATCAAAGATACTCAAGAAGCTTGACACCAACCAGGAAAAAGCAGCTCACTTGATTGGCACTGCATCCACAAGCATCCATTCCCTCCACCACTGATGCTCAGGAGCAGCAGTGTGTATTATCTACAAGAAGCACGGCAGAAACTCACCAAAGATCCTCAGACAGCACCTTCAAAACCAATGACCATTTCCATCTAGAATGACAAGGGCAGCATACACATGGGAACACTACCACCTTAAAGTTCCCCTCCAAACCACTCACCATTCTGACCTGGAAATAATCTGAGGGAGGGTCACGGGACCCGAAACATTAACTATGTTTTCTCCTCCACAGATGCTGCCAGACCTGCTGAGCTTTTCCAGCAACTTTGTTTTTGTTCCTGATTTACAGCATCCGCAGTCCTTTGATTTTTATTTGGAAATAATCACCGTTCATGTCAGTGGCTCAAAATCCTGGAATTCCCTCCCTAATGGCATTGTGGGTCAACCTACAGCAGGTCGACTGCAGTAGTTCAAGAAGGCAGCTCACCACCATCTTCTCAAGAGCAACTAGGGACAGACAATAAATGCTGGCCCAGCCAGCAACACCCACATTCCACACAATGAATGAATAAATAAATCCACGTATAGTCTGAGATTCTATTTAAATTTAAAATAGCCTCATGGTTTTTGTATTCTATTCTACTAGAAATGAATTTGTGTTTGCTTTGATGTGTTGATGCTTTTAATGATTTGTGAATGTGTACACCCCTAAATCTCTCTCCATGCAGCTCCTATCTCATTTACATTATTTTCAATAAATAGATGTTTTTCTTTTATTATTCCTACTCTTCCTTCAAACTACAACACCTCACACTAATCTATATTGAAATGAATTTACCAATGCCCCTTGTGCAAATTTTCATGTTTCGTCAGTCTTTCATAGTATTAATCACACCTGGTGTCATCAGCCAGTTTTTGTCTTTATACCTCTAATTCCAGAGCACAAATTAATTATGTAAACTGTCTAAAGACAGCAGCTCTCCAGTACTTAACTGATGATTCAGTACAGCACTAAAGGTGTGGTAAATAAAAACAGAAAGAACTGTGGATGCTTCAAATTGGGAACAAAAACAGAAGTTGCTGGAAAAGTTCAACAGGTCTGGCACCAACTTTGAATTAAAATTAGAGTTAACTTTTGGGTCTAGTGACCCTTCCTCAGAACAGTTCTGAGGAAGAGTCACCAGACCTGAAATATTAACTCTGATTTTTCTTCATGGATGCTGCCAGACCTGCTGAGCTTTTCCAGCAACTTCTGTTTCTGTTCCTAATGGTGTGTTGAATTCTAGACCTATTCATGTAAAGACATCTGCCCATTCAGGTATACATTTAAAGTCTCATGGCATAATCTGATGAAGAGCAAGGAATTTCTCCTAATTCCCTGGGCAATGTCCCTCAAACACCAGTAAATATGATTATCTGTTTACTTATCTCACTGTTTGTGATATCCTGGTATGCATAATTTGGTTGCCTTTCTTATTTTCATCACAACAGTGATATAACAAAATTTAATTGGATGTGGGGTATTTTGGAGTGCCCTCTGGTTAAAGAAGATATTATATAATTTGAGAAGTCACACGACACCAGGTTATAGTCTAACAGAAATGAAAACAGAAATTGCTAGAAAAGCTCAGCAGGTGTGGCAGCATCTGAGGAGAAAAATCAGAGTTAACACTTCGGGTCGAACAACCTTTCCTCAGTCCAACAGGTTTATTTGAAATCAGAGCGCTGCTCCGTTAACAGTTGACTTCACCTGGTGAAAAAGCAGCGCATCAAAAGTTTGTGATTTTAAATAAACCTGTTGGGCTATAACCTGGTGTTGTGCAACTTGACCTTGTCCATCCCAGTCTAACACCGGCACCTCCATATCATGGCTGTTACATAATTTGCAAATTCCTTTGTGATAACATTTGCAACCTGTGAACAATTGTTGACAGCTAATTGTGCATACTGTAACTGTTGTATCCTGTCCTCACAGGAGCTATGTTCACCTCTCTAACATAAGAGCCTCAGTCAACTGTGGTAAACTTACTATCATTTTAGGAAAAAACAACAATTAACTAAGATATCTGAACTGAATCTGGCGCTTCCTGGTTAACATCCTGATTTGCATGCACTATTAACTTTTGAATCACCTGAAATACTAGTTCTATTTCTGCAGAAGCAGTTGATTGTGGAATAGAACAAAGTCAATGTAACTTTTAATTACCTCTTCCTTCTCATGCTTTGCATGTCTACGTTCAACTGCCACATTTTTCTTTTTGTTGTAGTTGAACCGAGCTTCTTCTTCTGCGTTCATCATTTCTTTCTTCTTCTTGTCATATTCATTAGACAGTTCTCCTGAGTTGCTAACTTGTTCAAACAACTGCGTTCTCTCTTTAGGTTTCTTCATTGCTATGTTCTCCACAGCGCCCTACAATATAAAGGTTGTGTACTAAAACTAGACTGAGGATAATCAGTACATATAATAAATATCCATTAAAACACTACTACAACAAATGCTTCAATTGCTGCTCTGGTAAAATATTTTGCTGTTGCATATCTTCCCAGCATCAAGCCACAAATCTCACTACAGTTCCCCACAAACTGGAGAATACTAAGCCAAAACGTCCACCTGATTACATCAACACTTACTAGTCTTTCTGTTCTACAGGACAGAAGGGGACTATTTGCTCCATTTTATCTCTGTCTACTCTTCATTACAATAATTCCAAACTAATTGCACTATTACTTCCTTCACACAGCAAAGTATCTTTCTCTGCTTCAAATATTTACCCAAATTTAATGGTATCCAAACGTGAGACAAATATTTGAAGCAGAGAAAGTATTTCATGCAGCAATAACCTAATACGTTAAGAAATTTTTCCAACCTTTCCTCACTCTTTTGATAATTATAAATTGATACCCTCAACAAGAGAACAGCATCTGTTAAGAGAAAGCAGGTTAACATTTCAAGCCCAATGACCCAAGTGAAGGAACAGCCTAGGACATAGGTCACTGGCTATGACTTATATACAGTGTACAAGGTACCACCATCACCACGTATGTTCTGTTCCGATGGTAGGGTAGTCTGACTGGAGATCATGGCACAGTGATAAACAGTTGGAAGGAAGTTGCCTTGGGAGTTCTCATGATTGACTCCAGACCCCTTGAAATCTCATGATTTCAGATGAAACAAGGAAACCACCTGTTGATTATCAAGAAAGGCCTCACCTCAGCTGATAAATCAGTACTGCACCATGTTGAACACCATTGAGGGAAGTGAACCACTTAGGGCTGCAAAGGCACAGAATGCAGTCTGGATGGGCGACTTCCATATCCAGTGCAAAGGGTTGCTCAGTTGCACCACTACTGACTGAGTTGCTGAATGGTCCTTCTGGCATTAACTTATGCAGAAGAAATGAAACCCAGCTGTCTGTTTTCTAAAGTCCTTTAGTTGCTAGACTGGGATTATTGCAGGCAGGTGTTGATGGAACTGAGTGGCAAAAAATTACTTGACCTAATCCTCACCAATCTGTTGCAAATGGATCTGTCCATGACAGTACTGGAGTACTGGTAGTCAAGGCACTGTCATTGTGGAGGTGGAGTCCCGACTTCACCATGCGGATGCACTCCATTGTGCTGCTTGCCAAGACTAGCTAAATGGGATATACTTCAACAGATCTAAATGCTCAAAAACTGGGTATCCATGAGATGTTGTCAGCCATCAGAAGCAGCAGAACTACAGTCAACCACAATCTGTAAACCACCTCTCTATCATTACCATCAAGTCAGGAGATCAACCCTGGTTCACCCCAGCAGCAGCACCATCATACCTAAAAACAGGTATCTAGTCAGTTTATACCACATCCCTTCCTATGTTCTGTTTGATTCCTCTAAACACATCCTAGATAACAAAACAAAATTTCAAATATCTCAAAGAATTACATTCATCATCTTCTCCTGTATTCTCTACCTTTATCTCAGACACTTAGGGCAAGATTTTAATTCATTCAAAACTTATTCATTTACAGATATGGTACGGGAACCAATAAAATCACTCCATATATTTTTAATCTTAAAATGGAGCTTATTTGTTTTGCAGGAATGGCACAACAGAAATATTTTTCTAAAATTATTAACACAATACAAAAACTAAAAATGCTTCATACTGTTGACTGAAATTACAGAAATTTTAGCTGATATTTTAATAATTTTTCATCCCAAAGATAGCCTCTCACCTCTATTTAAAAGCAAACAAAGATCCAGCCTCTAGTGATAATTACTTATTAATATAATTTTAATATAAACAAAAGAACAAAGAACAATTCAGCGCAGGTTCAGGCCCTTTGGCCCAACAAGCCTGCATTAATTTCTACTCCACATTTAGACCCACTACTTATTGCCCATACATGGTTTCGATCCCTCTGTTCGCCTTCCATTCATGCTTTGATCAAGATACGCTTTAAATGCTGTTAACGTGCCTGCTTCCACCACTTCCACTGACAGTGTGTCCCATGCACCCACGACCCTTTGTGTGAAAAATTTTCTCTGTACTTCTCCTCCAAACTTTCCACTTTCACCTTGAACCTGTACCCTCTTGTAGTTGACCTTTCCAGCCTGGGAAAAAGCTTCTGATCATCCACCCTTTCTTTGTCTCTCATAATTTTGTACATCTCTATCAGGTCACCCCTCAGCCTCCGTCTTTCCAGTGAAAACATCCAAGTTTATCCAACCTCTTCTCATACCTAAAACTGTTCTGACGAGGCGACATTCTGGTAAACCTTCTCTGCACCTTCTCCAAAGCATCCATGTCCTACTGGTAGTGTGGTGACCAGAACAGCATGCAATATTCCAAATGTGGCCTAACTGAGGTTTTATGCAGCTGTAACATAACTTGCCAACTTTTATATTCCATGTCCCGGCTGAAGAAGGCAAGCATGCCGGATGCATTCTTGACCTTATCCACCTGTGTTGCCACTTTCAGGGATCTGCGGACCTATACGCTTAGAACTCTCTGTATGTCAATGCTCCTAAGGGTTCTGCCATTTATTACATAATTTATACCTGAGTTTGATCTTCCAGAATGCATTACCTCACATTTGTCCAGATTAAACTCTATCTGCCATTTCTCTGCCCATATCCACAATCTATCTACATACTGTTGTAGCCTTCGACAATCCTCTTCACTATCTGCAACTCCAACAATTTTGGTGTCATCACCAAACTTACTAATTAGACCACCTATTTTCCTCCAGATTATTAATATATATTATCATTTATATATTTCACAAGTAACAAATGTCCCAGCACAGAACCCTGCAGAACACCACTAGTTACTGATCTCCATTCCAAAAAGCACCCTTCCACCACTACTGTCTTCTATGGCCAAGCAGTTCTGTATCCATTTAGCTAGAACATCCCAGACCCCATGGGACTCTACATTTTGTACCAGACAGCCATGAGGTACCTTATCAAATGCCTTGCTAAAATCCAAGTAGACAACATCCGCTGCACTTCCCTCATCAATCATTCTTGTCACCTCCTCAAAAAACTCAATCAAGTTGGTGAGACATGACCTTCCCTCCACAAAGCCACACTGCCTATCAATAATAATTCCATTCACTTCCAAATATGAACAAATCCTGTTCTTCAGTATCTTCTCCAACAGCTTCCCCACCCCTGACGTCAGGCTCATTGGCCTATGATTACCTGGATTATCCCGCTTCTCTTCTTAAACAAAGCAACAACACTGGCCATTCTCCAGTCTTCTGGAACCTTGTCTAAGGCCAAAGGGATGCAAAGATATCTATTAATGTCCCAGCTATTTCCACTCTTGCCTCCCACAGTATCCTGCGATAGATCCCATCTGGCTCTTGGGACTTGTCCACCTTAATGCATATCAAGACACCCAACATTTCCTTCTTCATTATGTTGATCTGCCTGAGGATGTTCACACACCTTTCCTTAACTTCAACATCCCTCGTGTTTCTCGCTTCGGTGAATACTGATGTAATGTACTCATTAAGGATCTTATCCATTTTCTCTGGCTCCACACATAACCTTCCTCCTTTATCCTTGAGTGGGCCTACTTTTACCCTAATTGTACGTTAATAATAAAAAATGAAATAAAACACTGTTTTCCACATTACCTGAAACACCAGACAGTTTCTGCCTTTCAGTAAAATGCCAATTTTCTCAAGCTCATTTGTGTATTCCGCACGACTAATAATTTGATTGTTGAAGCGAAACTCTGAGGAGTTCCCTGACAAAGACAACAGGAAAGAAATTGAGCCATCCAATTATTTTTGTAAATACATTTTACTTATTTGCCTTTAAAAAAAAACTAAATGACATTTGCTTCCTTCACACTTTTCTTGAAAGTGGCAACTCTGATGTTGGCACATATTTCCAAAATGGTTGAATGGTACTTTAGTCTTTGTGAAAGCATGGTAAGTCCATGATAAATCCATGCTGAATGATTTTAGCATGGGAGTAATGTATTTAAAACCTGATCCTGGATTTCCGCCTAATCTGTAAGCATTTCTGACACAGTATAATAACAAGCAAGAGCAGGAACCTACCATAAATAGTCTCCTTCACAATACAGGGATGCTTGTGCCATTGTTATTTCGGCTGAGAATACAGGCACATTGTGTATTTTGGCCAAAGGCCAATCGACAGAAATAAAAAGATTTCATCCTGTTGTTAAAAAGGGATTAGTTTAAGGGTTAATTTGTTCTTCGCTTTGTATTACATTTTAGCTTTCCCTATTGTGCGAGTTTCAATATTCAGTTTAGTTTCTTGGAATTAAAAAACTTTACCAAACAAATGCATCTTTAGCTGTTAAGGAATTCAGAAGAGGCCAAAAAGCTGGGCAGATTTTTACTAATGAAGTGGGCAAGTCAAACAGGGAAACATCCACACATGGTAAGCATATCGCTATACACAGGCCCCCAAATACACCTTCTCCAGGCCAACTAGTGACAGGCAATAAATGCTGGCTAGCAAGTAACAACTGCATCCTACGGGTGGATCAATTAAAAAAAAAAATTCATTCTGGGGAGGCATAGGCGAGATGGAGTCAGTCCGTACCCAGAGGCTGCAACAGGGATAGGCAGATGGCCAGGCTTACAGGTGAAATATGACCATGAATGATTGAACAGTTCAATGCCTTTTACCCACCTCATCCTTATCAATCTGCCAGCTGCAGACGCATCTGTGCATGAGATAAAATCTCCATCATGTTGCATGGCACTATCACAGTGTTAAATGGGACAGACCTTACAGCTCAAGGCTGGGCATCCCTGAGGCACTGAGGGCCATCAACAACAGCAGAATCATACTCTAATGCAATCTGCAACCTCGTAGTGTGGCATATCCCTCATTCAACCATACCATCAAGCCAGGGGATCAAGCCCTGGTTGAATGGACAGTGCAGGAGGGCATGCCAGAAGCAGCACCAGGCATAACTAAAAATGAGGTGTTAACCTGGTGAAGCTATCAAATAGAGCTATCTGTGGCCAAACAGCATAAAGAAAAAATAAAAGGGCCCTCTTGTGGCACAGTGGTAGCATGCCCACCCCTGGACTGGGAGGCCTGAGTTCAAGTCTCACTTGCTCCAGAGGTGCGCAACAACATCTCTGAAAAGATTAATTAGAAAAATAGGTAAACAGCAAGCGATAGACAGAGCTAAGTGATTCCACAACCAATGGATTAGATTAAGCTCTATAGTCTTGCCACAACCAATCATGAACGACGTTGGACAGTAAGAAGCACTGGATACTGAAAAGCCTATGAACCTTGACAACATTCTGACTATAACACTAAAGACTTGTGCTCCAGAACCTGCCACTCCTCTAGCCAAGCTGTTCCAGTACAGCTACAACACTGACATCTACTTGACAACATGGAAAATTGCCCAGATATATCCTGCAGCCAAAAGAATATGACAAATCCAACCCAATCAATTACCATCCTAGTCTATTCTTGACCGTCAGTAAACTGTCAGTGTTATTAAACAGCATCTGCTTAGCAACAACCTGCTCCATGACATCCAGCTTGCATTCGCTCAACTTCTGACTGTCTTGGTTCAAACATGGATTAAAGAGTCGAATTCCACAGGTGATTGACAGTGACAGCCACCGGCATCAAGGCTGCATTCAACCGAGTATGGCACCCAGGGGCCCAAGCAAAACTGGAATCTATGGGTATCAGGAGCCAAATTCTCTGCTGGTTGGAGTCACACCCGGCACATACGAAGACGGTTGCGGCTGTTGGAGATCAGTCATCGCAGCTATGGGGGACAGCTCTGCAGGAGCTCTTCAGTGTACTGTCCTACGCGTAACCTTCTTCAGCTGCTTCATCAATGACCTTCCCTCCATAATAAGGTCAGAAGTGGGATGTTCACTGAAGGTTGCACAATGTTCAGCAATATTCATGACTCCTCAGATTTGAAGCAGCCCACGTACAAATGCAACAAGACCTGGACAATATCTGACTTAGGTTGATGACTGTCAAACAGCATTTGAGCCACACAAATGCCAGGCAGTTCCCATCTTCAATAAGGCACAATCTACCCACTACTCCTTGACATTCAATTGTGATTTAATCACTAAATACCTCATTATCAACACCGGTGACCAGAAACTCAACTGGACTCGCCATATAAATATAGTAGCTACAACTAGAGACTAGGGTAACTGCAGCAAGTAACTCACCTTCTAACTCTCCAAAGCTTGTCCACCATCTACAAGGCACAAGTCATGAGTGTGATGGAATACATCCCATTTGTATGGATGGCTGAAGCTCCAACAACACTCAAGAAGCTTGACAACATCCAGGACAAAGCAGCATGCTTGATTGGCACCACATCCATAAGCATCCACTCCCTCCACAAAAGACCATCAGTAGCATCTGTACTATCCACAAGAAGCACTGCACAAATTCTCCAGAGATCCTTAGACAGCACCTTCTAAGCCCACAACCACTTCCATCTAGAAGGACAAGAGCAGCAGATATCAGAAGAGCACCACTTGAAAGCTCCCCTCCAAGTTACTCACCATGCTGACTTGGAAACATATCGCTGTTCCTTCACTGCCACTGGGTCAAAATCCTGAAGTGCCTTTTCTAAAGGCATTGTGGGTCAACCTACAGCACATGGACTGCAGTGTTTCAAGAAGGCAGTTCACCACCTTCCCAAGGGAAACTAAGGACAGTAAATGTTGACCAAGCAGTGATGCCCATGTCCCAAGAGTGAATAAAAAAAGGTCCATTTTTGTCGTTAGATTGCAATCATATTCTACTCTGTTTTGACAGGTTCTTGGTCATCCAATATTGTACGCCATAAACCCCCCCAACTATTGGAATTATTGAAAATTCTAGCAAATTCATAGACCTTTTCTTTTAATCTTATACTATCCTAACCTTCCTTTGTTAGCCATAGTTAACTGACATTTTTTTTTGAGTTTTTGTACCTTGCCATAACGTATAAGTTGCTTTAAGTCATGTTATAGATTTTTCAGCACTGTCCATTCCCTATACAGTCATGCCTTTTAATGGATTTTCCCAGTACACTAAAGCCAATTTGCACCTCATGTCTTCATAATTTCCCTTATGCAAGTTAAACACCCTTGCTTCATTAAGAATATAATGTAACATTCTATCATTCTGTCGTCACTCATCCCTAAAAAGGTTTTTTTACAAGTTTGTAAATCAGCCCTTTTTAATTATCTATTACTTAGTCTAAAATAGCATGTCTAGTTGGGTCCTCAATATACTGCTCTAGAAAGCCATCCCTTACACAACTTCAGTGCTCAATTGGTTTACCCAGTCTATATGCAAATTAAAATCCATGAGAACTGTATCGCCAATGTTACATGCTTTTATCTCCTGATAATAATATATCCCACGGTTATCAATATTATTTAGAGGTCTATAAATAATTCCATCCACTGCCTGCTCCCCTATGCTTATTTCGTTCAACCAACAATCCATACATTGTTCTTCCGATCTAAGGTCCCCCCTTATTCAACTACTGATCCCATCCTTCACCAATAGTCTCAGTACAGGTAGGCCTCTCAATCCATGCTTTATTTCCCTCCTACTCAGCTTTCACTCTGGAGACTTTATTTCTTGGAGCAAACCTTGTGTGAGTACCTCTTTCGCCCACTGCCCTAAATTCCCACAATGACCCACATTCGCAGTTACTCATTCTGTCTCAACTTCACTCCTGCGAAGTCTCCCTCAATCTGCTTGTGCAACTTATTCTGCAACCCAATGCTAATCAATGCAATCAGCTGCAGGTGGATTTTTTTTTAAACAATGGATGACGTTTGTTTTTCACTTTTAAAGAGTTCTGGGGTTTTGAATAATTTCAGATTAATGCATTAGAATTTCAAAAAATGGTTTCAAATGCATGTCAACATTTACACAATGCTCGACAACATAATCATCAATGTAGCTTTGAAGGACAGAGCCTCAGAGAAGCAAATTTACCTTACAATGTAACATCTAACTATTCAAACTGAAAGACAACTTTATTTTGTAGTTCAAAGTCTGTCAATACTACGCCCCTTGACCCACAACATAAAAGTCACGAAGGCAAAGAGTTCAGTGTGTGGGAGAGTTGCTCTCAACATTATCTAGTAAGATAACTGAAAGGCAATGCAAACGAGAATCTCAGAATCGGGTTGAGATCACCATTCTTGTATGGCTCCTGAATCTGTCCAACTTGATGAAAATCTAGACTGCCGTCATTGGTAACTCCATTTTTCAAACAGGCAAGATATATTTGCAATTAATCATCTATTGCGATTGCAAGAGGAGCCAAAGTACTTTACAACTAATTAAGGACTCGTGAAATGAAGTTACCTGTTCTAATAGTAGATCATGACTGCCAATTTGCCCACAGCAAGATCTTATAAAAGCAAGGTGGTAATTACCTGATAATTTTTTAAACAATATTGGATGAGGGATATTACACAAAATCACTGGGGAGAATTCTCAGGCTGTTTGTGCCATGGCATTTTTATGCATGCTCCAGAAGGCAGACAGGCTTTTTATTTAACATTTTATGCAAAAGAACTTTTAGCAGTGCTGCACTTCATTAGTACAATGCTGCCGTGTGAGCCAAAATGATATATTTTCAGTCTCTAGTGGAGGACTTGAAATTATAACATTCAGGCCCAAAGTGAGAATGCCACTAACTATTCTACAATTCAACTGTAAAATTAGAATGGGCAACTGACCAGAGTAAACCAGAAC